AAACGTGCTCACCCCGTCGTTTGGCCTCTCCTTGGACAGACGGCGAGCCAGAATCATGGACAGCGCCTGAGAAAAAGCTCCGGATTAGATCAGTGAGTTCAGATGAAATCGTCCAGTTTGATTTGACTTTTTCCGGGAAGTTTTCCACGGATCGGTCTCATCGTGAGGCCGGTTTTGGACACGCCGTAGGGTTAGGTTTAAGTTTAGGGTTAGGATTAGAGTAAGGATTAGGGTTAGTTAACATCAGTAACAGGTCAGTTTGAAAGACTAACTTGTCAAAATTCAGTTCAATTTTGGGGTCTTTGTTTTTATCCTTGTGGTATCTGATATTTTCCTGAGTATCGGTATCGATGTTGTAGGGGAGGAGCTGGACACTCTGTCGACCGTGGCAGAGAGGAGGATGCTGTCCAGGCTTAAGTCCATCATGGACAATGTGTCTCACCCCCTCTACGACACACCCTAACCCCAACAGAGGAGCTTGTAGAAGCTATTTTTCGTATTTACATTAGTGATAAGCTAAAATATGTGTGTTTTGATTCCCATCTGTCTACCATCTGTATCTTCCAAGGTCTGGACGTCAACAGGCCAACTACCGGGAAAAACCTGATAAGGGCATGACTTTCCTATCTCATAATACGTACACTGCTTATCAACTATCAGTCTAATAAAAATCAACGGCTAGAGAAATGTGGGTGAGATTCGATGTGTGGCATTCTCTGGCCACACAGTCTCTCCCTCTCTGCAGTTGAGAAAAACTTATCCTCTGTGTCAAGCCTTTTTATTCTGATGCCTCTTCCTGGGTCTATTGAATAATAACTAAACTCTTGATAGTGAGGAACTAGGAGTCGTATTTAGACCCAACAAGCTCCTTCAGCAGAAGACTCCTCTCACCCAGATGCACCACAGAGCGCCACCGGAAATCCTTCCTGCCGGTGGTCATCAATCTGTACAACGCTTCCCTCTGAGAGTCAATCTTAATCATTGACACTATCCACCTCTCATTTTGACCTACATATACACATATTGTTTTTTATGTATATATCTAGCTATATTTATGAGGAATTTTGTATATATATATGTATATATGTATAGACATGTACATATGTATATTAGGGATGCAAATTATCGATTAATTCATTAATCGTTAGTTGATTATCTTATCGATCGACTTTCGATTAATTGATAAGCGGCGTTTTTCACCTGAGTTTCAGGGCTTCAATAGGGCCTTAATATAATTGAGGTATTATATTACATTAGCCAACATTATGATACCATAATTATATTGTATTATATTATACATTCCTCAAGTAATTATGCATTAGGAGAAGAAAGCAGACACGTATTTAAGGTAAAACAAAATCTTTAATTAAAAGACAACCCTGGCTCAGTTCTTGCATGATAGCGCTCATCAACAAATTGCTGGACTGAACCAGTCCAGCAGTTTGTTGATGAGCGCTATCATCTCTCCGGCT